CTCAGTTGTGTCCGACTCTTTGTGACCTCATGTACTGCAGCATGCCAGGCCTCCGTGTCCATCACCAACTCCCAGAGTTTGTTCAAACTCATGTCCATTGAGTCGGTGATGCCATCCAACCATCTCATCCTCTGTCAACCCCTTCTTCTCCTGCCTTCAATCTGTCCCAGCATCAGGGTCTTTTCCAGTGAGTCAGTTCTTCACATCAGGTGGCCAAAGTATTGGAGTTTCAGCTTCAGCATCAATCCTTCCAATGAATATTCAGGACTGATTTCCTTTAGGATGAACTGGTTGGATCTCCTTGCAGTCCAAGGAACTCTCAAGAGTCTTCTCCAACACCACAGTTCAAAAGCATCAGTTCTTCGGTGCTCAGCTTTCTTTATAGTCCAACTCTCACATCCATACGTGACTGCTGTAAAAACCATAGCCTTGACTAGACAGACCTTTGTTGGCAAAATAATGTCTCTGCTTTTTAATATGCTGTCTAGGTTGGTCATGGCTTTCCTTCCAAGGAGCAAGCGTCTCTTAATTCCTTGGCTGCAGTCACCATCTGCAGTGATTTTGGAGCCCAAGAAAATAAAGTCTGTCACTGTTTCCATTGTTTCCCCATCTATTTGCCATGAAGTGATGGGACCGGATGCCATGATGTTAGTTTTCTGTGAAAAAGCCAACTTTTTCACTCTCCTCTTTTACTTTCATCAAGAGGCTCTTTAGTTCTTCACTTTCTGCCAGAAGGGTGGTGTTATCTGCATATCTGAGGTTATTGATATTTCTCCCTGCAATCTTGATTCCAGCTTGTGCTTCATTCAGGCTACCATTTTACATGATGTACTCAGCATATAAGTTAAATAAGCTTAGCTTAGCTCTCTAGAAATTTCTGTATATTGGTGGACAGGACAATATTCAGCTTATAGTAAATTCCACTTGTGATCTGTTGTCTTTACTGTTCTTAGAACCATGCCTTCCTGACCCACAAGGTCAAGTTCCATATTTGATCTTCACATGAACTAGTTGGATTTTCTGTTACCTTGTTACAAACAGGCTACACCCCTCACCTTGGGATGTCTGACTTGGTATAACTTATAAGAAAGGAAGCTGGGCCACAGATCTGATATGAAACAATACTGATTGATCTTGGCTCCTTAAAACTCAAAACTTCCTTCTCTTGGCCTTTGTGAAAGCAGAGCCTGACACATGTTATGCACTTCTCACATTGGTTATGATTTTATCTGCCTTTGCACTATTAAGCATAGCATGTTGTTTTATTCATCCTTTGATGTTTTTTGTAGCCAGTATTTCTATTTCCTTCAACAAATAGAAATGGGCCATTTAAGGACTGAGGTTGCAAGTATTTTGGTCTTTGCTGTGCCTCTGGTGCCTGGTACAGGGGCTGGCATGCATTCAGTACTTGCTATTTATTAAATAAGTTTCGGAAAAAAAAATAAATTAGTGATTGAAGGTATGGCTGAATAGTCATTCTGTGAGAGCAAGAGATTGGGCAGATTATAGTCTTCCTAGAAGGTTATATCTCTGAAATCTGAGAAATAAAGCCTGTAAAATATAAATTTGGGAACCATCCTGATAAAAACAATTATAGAAACCGTGAGAGTGGAATTCCATGAGTGTATGCAAAACAGAGTGTAAGAATGGAGGGAAACTGAAACACAAAGAAAGAGGGATTGGAAGGAGTCAGACCTACAGGAGAGCCCAGTGGCCCAGGGGAGCAGTCATCAGTGGGGAGACAGAGGTGAGAAGAGAGGAGAACAAGAGGGGGCCTTTGGGTCTGAGCAGAAATCAAGCGAGTGTAATGTGAGCCTGGGTCACGGCCTAAGAGAGGCTTGGGGAAATGCCACTACCTCTTTGTTTGTACTCTTCATCTCTAGTCATTCCAGTTGAGAGGGAGCTTTTTCTTAAGCAAAGACATAATTACTTTTGGTTTTCTGCTGCACATATGCCTGGTATCATAGGACACTGTACTAATACTGAAGGGTTTATTTTGTGATCTCTTTTAAGCTGGTTACTTAATGACTATGGCCATATTTTTCCATTACTTCCATTACAGATAATGATGTTCGATATATATATCTAACTATTGAGGGGAATTGCAAACTTGTTGGAGATTTGAAAATCAACATGAAGGTCAATGGGAAAAATGTAGACTCTTTGTCCAAGATTATCTGGGAACTTTTTAGTTGAAATTTTATTAAATTCTGTAGTTTATGAGACTGCTACAAAGCTATAATGACATGCCCTGGCAATAAAGAAATTTGGTTGCTAATAATGGAGATACACATATGACACACACATATATGTATAATTTTTTCTTTTGGGTGTGATGTTAATAAAAATCCATATGGGGGACGGGTTGGGGAGTACATTTGAGTTTTATTAGAATGCTGTCATTTGTGAAAGCTTTTCTCTTAATTGAGATTACTTTATTGTAATGAAAAGTTGTTGTTTAGTTGCTCAGTCATGTCCAACTCTTTAGCGACCCCATAGACTGTAGCCTGCCCGGCTCCTCTGTCCATGGAATTCTCTAGGAAACAGTACTGCAGTGTGTTGCCATTTCCCTCTCCAGGGGATCTTCCTGACCCAGGGATCAAACTCATGTCTCCTACGTTGGCAACTGGGTTTTTTACCCCTGAGCCACCTGGGAAGCCTCAGTGAAAAAAGGCGCTACCATTTATTCAGCAGCTACTTTGTTCTAGACATGTTACAGTGATCCTTGGAAGGAGATATTATTTCTAATTTAAAGTGAAGAAATTGAAGTTTAAGTAGTTTGCCCAAGGTCCCAGGGCTAGTAAGTAGGAGAGTCTAGCCATTTTTTAAATCCAAAGCTATGCACTTTCCAGTCTGCTGTCTGAATGAGAATCTTTAGTGTATCAGAGTGAGGTGTATATTGATTGGAAGCCAAGAAAGCTCAGAAAAAGGGAAATCAGGCAAGTCAGAAAACCACTAGATGAGAACTTCTTCAGCATCCTTTCCCCTAATCTGCCTGTTTACCCATGTCTGTACCTGACACTTGCCTTCTTATGTGCGGTGGACAAGGCTGCTCCTCTCAGGACTTGACTCCTTTTGTTTATCTCTCGCATCTTTAGTCTGTTTCCCTTTCTTGACTAGCTTCTTCCCAGAAGCGTAACGTAGACCCTTTCCAAAGCAAAGGCCTTCGGTATTGTTTAGTCATTGCTGTGTAACAAACCGCTCCAAAACTTAGTGAAGTTAATTTAAGATATTTACTGGGCTTCCCTGGTGGCTCTGTGGTAAAGAATCAGCCTGTCAATCCAGGAGACACGGATTTGCTCTGTGGTCCAGGAGGCTCCCACATGCCACAGAGCAGCTAGGCCCGAGCGCTACAATTACTGAGCCTGCTCTCCGGAGCCTGGGAACCACATCTCCTGAAGCCCCCCCACACTAAAGCCTGTGCTCCGAAATAAGGGAAGCCCCCACACTGAGTAGTGGGCCCTGAAAGTAGAGAGCAGAGCCTGCTCACCGCAACTCGAGAAAAGCCTACACAGCAGCGGCCAAGCACAGCCAAAAATAAACAAATGAAAAACTTTTAATATCTTGTTGTTGATAAAAGCTATCATTTGTTTAGCTCACTGTTTTGTGAGTCAGCAAATTAGTCTGGGCTCAGTTGGATTTGTGTTTTAGGCGCTCTGTCGTGTCCGACTCTTTGTGACCCTGTGGGCTGTAGCCTGCAAGGCTCCTCTGTCCATGGGGATTCTCCAGGCAAGAAGACTGGAGTGGGTTGCCACGCCCTCCCCCAGGAGATCTTCCCAACCCAGGGCTCGAACCCAGGTCTCCCGCATTGCAGTCGGATTCTTGACCGGATTCGGAGCCACCAGGGAAGCCCAAGAATACTGGTGTGGGTAGCCCTTCTCCAGGGGATCTTCCCAGTCCAGGAATCAAATCGGGGTCTCCTGCATTGCAGGTGGATTCTTTGCCAGCTGAGCTACCAGGGAAGCCCCCGGTTGGGCTTACTTATTCGTTTTTGGTCAGTTCAACAGGTCTGTTTCTGAGGCATTAGCTGGTCAGTGGCTGTGGCCATCAGGTGACGAGCACGTGTCTTCCATCCTGCAGCAGGCTAGCCTGGACTTGTGCATGGTTGCGTGGGAGGGTTCCAAACGAGAGCAGAAGTCTGCAAATCACCTTGAGGCCTAGATTCAGAATGAGTGTCCTTTGCTCTTCATGCCGTCAACCAAAGTAGGTCACAAGGTCAGCCCAGGGCATGGAGAAGTAGACCAGTGAACAGGGTACTCTTTCCTCGCTGGTCAATCCAGTTTACCCTTCAAGACCATAACCATGTCAGGCTGAGTCACGGCCTCGGGTCGCGGCTTCCTCGGTCCCTGCATTTAAAACACTGTATGGCAGCTGTTGGTTTACTGCTTAGTAGAAAATGAGTTCCTTAAAGACAGTGACCGTGTTTCAGTCCAGGATTTGGCACATAGTGGAACATTTGAAAGTGGAAATTTTTGTGAAAATAAAGCATTCTAGCAGTTAACATATGGCAATATGGACTAGAAGACAATATATACTTGCATTTTAAGACTTGCCAGTGTCAAACAACTTTGGGGCAGACTCGACTATATCAAAATCAAAATTTCTTTAAAATTAGAAAGCATTCTGAGAAGAAATCACTAAGTATCTGTGTACTATCATTAAATATCTGTGTACTATCTTTGTCTTTTTGTGAGGTTATAAGTCTTTTTTATACAGGAGGCAAGTCACATTTTTATGGCATGTTTGTCAGAAAAAGCATACCCAGCCATTCACTGGCCCACTGGGATTTGGGATAACATTTCTCCTTTAGGATATACAATGAGGAGAGATGGCAGCCGGTGTCCTGGGAGTTGCTCTGGGCAACACAGAATATAAATGTTTCCATTAAATGGGAGATGAGGTATATGTAACATAAGCTCATCTTTCAGTGAGCATGTCTTGTCAATGCCCTAATTCTTAATTGGTGGATTTTCATGTGCATTTTTTTTATTGTGTTTTAGATTCAGCTGCCTGTGTATTCCCCAAACCTGACCACATCTTCCTATCTCCGACTTGATATCTCACCATGCCTAGGAGATCAAGAGGAGTTAACATCGGGCTGCTTCTGCTCCTTTCTCAAATCTTCCAGGTTGGGATCAACAATGTTCCACCTGTCACCCTGGCAACGTTGGCTCTCAACATCTGGTTGTTCTTGAATCCCCTGAAGCCGCTGCTTAGCTCCTGCCTCAGCGTGGAGAAGTGTTACCAGCAGAAGGACTGGCAGCGCCTGCTGCTTTCCCCTCTTCACCACGCGGATGACTGGCACTTGTATTTCAATATGGCATCCATGCTGTGGAAAGGAATTCATCTGGAGAGAAGACTGGGGAGTAGATGGTTTGCCTACGTCATCGTCACATTCTCCCTCCTCACTGGGGTGGTGTACCTGTTCTTGGAATTTGCTCTGGCAGAATTTCTAAATGAGCCTGACTTCAAAAGGAACTGTGCTGTGGGTTTCTCAGGTAAGGCAGACACATTTATAAAGGCAGCCTGCATGAAGACAGGAAGGGAGCTGCAGCTGCTGTTGTTTTATGAAGCGGGGGTCCCAGCCGGTGAGGGAACTGACATCTGAGTGGCTAAGGACTGCTAGGGCTTAGCCCCAAGGATTTTGGAGCAGAGGCTTATTGGAGCACAGGAGAGTCACTGATTTTGCTATCTCCCATTATGCCGCATTATTCATTCTTGGACAGTTTAGACTATGGTCTGCCCAAAGGTAGTTTTGCAGGAAATAGGATTTTGGAAATATGCCCTGGCTCCGTTGTGATGGGGCCAAAGAGAGAGATGCACTGGTATTTGTGGTAGGGAGTTCTCTAAAAAGATCACGCCTCTCAATAACGCCATTAAAATAAAGGTACCACACCCTGTGATGGAACCTCCTTACCATGATATTCTCTGTACATGTGTGGGTGCTCAGTCATGTCTGACTCTTTGTGACCCCATGGAATGTAGCCCACCAGCCTCCTCTGTCTGTGGGATTTCCCAGGCAAGAATACTGGAGCATGTTGCCATTTCTATCTCCAAGGGATCTTTCCGACCCTGGGATTGAACCTGCATCTCTTGCATCTCCTGCTTTGGCAGCCAGATCCTTTACCACTGTGCCACTTGGGGGGCCCAGTCTCAATGCACAGTTTATGCTGTTTGATTAATGTAACAGGTCCATCCACCATGAACACAAGGTGGCCTTGTGTTCATTTTCTAAGTTAGGAAGCTAAGGCACAGGGAAATCAGCCATGGTTATACACCTCGTAAGTGATGGGGCTGGGATTTGAACCTAGTCTACAGGACTATCCATGTGTTACCTTGCCTCTCGCTGTTGCCCCTCACTAGTTCTTTTCTTATAGGACTGAATTGCCATCAGGACTTAACATAGATCTTCTAAAAATTAGAATGTGAAGGGTAGGAGGGAAATTGTCCTGAAACAGAAGGAAAACAAACCCTTTCCTCTCCTTTCCCTGCTGTCCTTTCCCCTTTCCTCTAAGATACATCTTCATGAGTCTGATTGTGTGAGAACAAAGGAAATATGCCCTGTCTTCAATATAGCTTTCCATAGGAGTTAGAAAAATACACATTAATGGTGTTTTTTCAAATTGAGTTAAAAATCACAAAGCGTACAATTAATGATTTTGAAGTTTAAAATTCAGTTGCATTTAGTACCATTACTAGTGTGTTATTCCCATTTTGTGTGTTATATATTTAATAGCATACTCAAAGTCAGTATGAACTTCTGTTCAGAAACATTCAGGGAGATTTCCCTGGTGGTCCAGTGCTTAAGGCTCCCGGATGCCATTGTAAGGGTTGAGGGTGTGATCCTGGTTGGATTACTGAAGTCCTACGTGCAGCCAAAAGATCAAAGAAAAGGAAAAAAAAAAAAAAGAAACATCGAAAGAATGGTTACCTTCAGGATTGTCTTTCTGCCAAATGTTCAGGTTGACTTTTTATAAGGAGTAGAATATGTATCAAAGCCAAGAGTTGAAGTACTCAGATAATCATTTGCACTTCAGTTAGTCTTTTTTGCCTTGTTGATCATCTCTGCATTTGGATTGCTGATATTTGTATGCTCTTCATTCTCTTTTAGGAGTTTTGTTTGCTTTGAAAGTTCTGAACAACCACTGTTGCCCTGGAGGCTTTGTCAATGTTTTGGGCTTTCCTGTATCCAACAGATTTGCTTGTTGGGTGGAACTCTTGGCTATTCATTTCATCTCACCAGGGTAAGTGTTTACTCTTAGAGAATGCAAATGAAGGACCTGATATTCCATGGAGAAAGAATTGTAGTAATAATGAGGTAACTGGAGTTTGTGCTTTAACTCTTAAGGACAGAATCCAGTTAATGGTTTTAGTGTCAGATATTCCTGTGTTTGAATCCCATCAGCTACTGAGCTGTGTGATTTTTGATGTACTTGTCTTATGTGAGTTTCCATTTTTTCACCTTTTAAGTAGAACCTGGTACACAGCTTAGGGGGTTAATATTAACCAGTCTGTCAATTAGTTAATTCTAATAATGATAATTCAAAGAGGCAGCTAGAAACCACATAATTTTAAAGATAAAAAAATCAAAAGATATTTTAGAGGACTAATGCTTTTAAGCCACTTTAGTTGTAAATTGTCTTGGTGATTTGATGATAGACTCTATAAGCAGAAGATTTTACCCACGGTCTTGACATATGAACTGTATCAACTGTGAACTGTTTTGGGGTGGATTCACCTCCGTGTCACTGTGGCTGTGTCCCTGGAGCTCCAGGGAACATAGTTTGGAAATCCCTGACATCTGTAACTTTTCCTCTATAGATGAGGAGAAGGAAGTTCAGAAGGCTTGGAGACTCATTGAACAGCTGGTGGTAGATACCAGGCTAGTTAGGATTCCAGCCTTCTGATTCCTGGTCTTCATGTTCCCAGGGGAGAGGGGATGGAGTTGGAGGGTGCTTTTCCACTTTGATTCTTTTCTCTACTTTCTCTTCAGAAAAAGGAGTGAATTGTTTTTTTTATTTCCCTACCTTGATTCTTTTCTCTATTTTCTCTTCAGAAAAAGGAATGAATTGTTTTTTATTTCCCTACCTCTTCCACCAGCTGCACTTAATCTGTGTAATGCAACTGGAAGCCCATGGTTTGCACATTTATTTTTAAACTCTGGGGATCTGGATGCTGTTTGGAGAAGGGAGAGATTCAGGAAAGTTCAGAAAGAAGTATGGATATTTTTTAGCTGCTTTTCTTTTCAGTAAGGAGCTCTTTTGTTTTGCTTTTGGTTTGTGTGACTATGTTGGGTGTCGTACTTTATTTGAGAGTGTTCTTCTTGGGCTGCGTGTCAGGCCAGTAACCTTGAGTCCTTCTTTAATGCTAATTTCCCATCCCGGCAGGGCAGCCTTCGCCAGCTGGTCTGTAAAAGGCAGTGGTGTGGCCACTGAACTCCACTCATTTGCAACTGTATTGTTATCTTGTGACAGTTCCACCAAGAAAGCCTAACAAAATCTTCAAAGTTTTCTTTGAAAAAGGGTCCAGTAATGTGTGTCCCTTATCTGAACAGCCTTCCCTATACCTTGTCACTCACAGCTCCCTGACTTGCTCGATGTGACTTGGTTCTCTGTGTAGACCAGAGACTCTTGTGTGTGAGGGCAGCACCCAACATTCATATGAAAATCACTCCCTCTGGTACTTGAACTTTTATTCTATAATGAATCCATTGAATACCTGTGCCTTTAATATTCTCATGCAACTATTGCTTAAGACTCTCATCATGCATTTTTATTTTTTTAGGAACACCTCCCCCGCCCCCAGCCCTGTCCTTTTACATAGAAAAGGCATGGTTGCATTTTTATGTAATATGCTTATTCTGCATGGAGGGACCTGATACTCTGAGCCTGGGAATTAAATGGAATTTCCTTTGACGTTTGAAAGACTAAATCTTTTGGTTTTTGAAGATTTGACTACTTTGAATGATCAACTGATGATATCCAAGCATCTCCTTATGTGGTGTGTCCAATAGAGACAGAGTTGAGCGCTGGTCCAGGAAACCTAAGAAGGGAGTGCTTCTTTGAGATGGATCTTGGAAGAATGGGAGAAACCAGAGCTCTGCTGCTCCGCATTGTTATTCTCCTGGTGGTTGTCAATTAGAATTTTCATTGGGAAAACATTGCAGATCTTTAGAACAAAGCCTGCTTTATTGATGGACTTAATGAGCTGCCCTTTGGAGGGAAAAAACATCTGCCAGGCAAACCTTTGTGGCCCTCTGTGTTTTATGAAATCCACAGAATTAGCAATTTCCCCCAGTTAGGGAGTTTTATGGAGGGAAGCCTCTCCAAACAGCCAGCCCGGTGAGGGGTATGGACCTGCCCAGGGGGGTGAAGTAACCACTCTCCTTTGCTGGGCCTTTTGCTCTTGATGCCGAAAGCTCAGCTGCTCTTTACGCCAATGCTGAATCATATTTTGGAGACAGTTTGGGGTGAAGTAGAAAAGGATAGTTTTGTCGCTTTGCCAGACAAAGGGGAACACACAGCCGGTTCAATGCCCTCAAAACCTTGTGTCCCCACTTGGGGAAGATAGTGAGAAGTTTTGTGGTAATTGTTTGAAGAGGGAATGATCAGTCCATGGCCATTTCTTCTGATGAATTGATGGTGAGGTAAGTAGGAGTCAGCATCATCAACTTTCAGGTCCAACTAGTCTGGGGTCTATAGGCTTGTGGGCGGCGTACTATCCTTAATCATTAACATCTCCCACTTTGAGCCGGGGTCAGAATCTGCAGAGCAGCTCAGAGAGGTTGTGTGTATCCAGTGATGGAGAACAGACAGGACCTGGCCTCAAGGCTGCTCTTGACTGTTCGTCCCTGGCTTTGCATCCTCTCCCTTTCCTGATTAACAGCTGCTTGCATCTGCCCACTGGGACTCAGGGAAGGTCCTGGAGGCTAAACGAAGGCTGTTTCCTACAGTCAAAGAAATGGGGGACACAAAGGCCTTGTGCCCAGGAGCCCCGCAGGGCCTGCACGTGTCCCTTCCACGTTCCCGTGTGTGGCTTGCTGCAGTGACAGCTGTGCCTCAGTGGTCTTTTCCTTTCCCCGTGTGTCCTGGGACCCCGCTCGGTGGTTGAGTCTGAAGAAGTAACCCTGCTCCTTAAGGTGGTATAGGAGGGAGGAGATTCCAAAATTCTAATTTTCACCTTAAAACTCAAATTTTATTAACAATAGATACCATTGTTTTTTTTTTTTTTTTCCCTTGAAGGCTCACATTGTTTATTTTTAAGAAAATGCTTGCCATTTCTTATTTAACTGTGGGCAGTCAGTTTTTCTTTCTAGTAAGTGTGATGAGGCAGAGTTCATAAAAACAGTGGCCAGTTCATCTCACAGCTCAACCAACCACACTGGTGCTTCTCTGGGAGATTAGTACCTTAGTTGGATATAGAGTTGAAGCACTTTATGCTTATTTCCCATTTTGTCACATAGAATATGAAAAAGATGTATACTTTTTAAGAAATTGAAATTTTACTATTTATCAAGGATATTCTTAAGCAGAGCTTCCATTTTCCCCTTTGAGTGTGAATCTGTGGCTGTGAGACACCCAGCAGCTCTTGACATATTTTTGGAGTCACTGCCTTGATTCACTTGATTCAAGCAGCCAAGGCACAAGCGGTTGTACCCCGCTATTGCTTTCATGTCGTTGTTGCTTAGTTGCTAAGTCTCTGACTGTTTGCAACTCCCCGGACTGTAGCCTATGAGCCTCCTCTGTCCGTGGCATTTCCCAGGCAGGAATACTGGAGTGGGTTGCCATTCCCTTCTTCAGGGGATCTTCCCCACCCAGGGATCAGGTCCCTGACTCCTGCATTGGCAGGTGGATTCTTTACCCCTGAGCCACCAGGGAAGGCCCCGTTGCTTTTATATCATTAATGAAAATGCCAGTACATGGAGAAAGGCTAATAATGCCTCAGTAGTATTATGAAAATAGTTTTGACTTCATGAACTGATGGAAGGGCCTCTGGGACCTCCCGTGGTCCATGGAGCCCACTTTGAGAATCACTGCTCCCAGCTCTCAGGCTGCCTCTCTGGCACTGCACTTGACTGTGTCTTAACTTGTGTGGAAAGAAAGATGGTAGCTTCATGCAGCCAGGGCTGGGAGAGAAAGGGAAGCAGTGAAGTATGCAAGAACACATGTAACCGTTGAAATCGCTAATTAACAATTCCTAATTAGCCTGAACTGTTAACGCTTTGTCCGAAGGAGGGTGGCCACTTGTCTCTGTCATTACAGGGACTGATTATAAGTTCTGTTCCACACGAACTTAGATGCAGGGAACTCCCATCCTACTTTGGGTTCTTGTGATAAGGTGCTTCTGGCTTATTCGTCTAAACTGAAACATGCATGTTCTTTCTTCCCCAGTAGTGCTGAGATAGGGAACATAAAAGGCATACCTTGTGTTTGAGTGCCGGTTGACACCTCTGTGGAGTTAGCTACGTAGCAGTCTGTTGGATTTTTGCCTTGGGAATTAGGAATGAGGTTGAGGAATAACAATTTGGACGATGATGGTTACACCATCTCCTGTCCCATGTGTTCTTTTAGAACTTCACTTAAGAGATGGGGCCCAGGGCTCCTCTCTGTGAATTGAGTGGGTTTGTGGCTCATTGCAATCAATAGATGGCAGCAGAAGTGCCATGTTACTTCTGAGGCGAGAAGTCCCTTGCCATGTGAGCGGCAACACTGGCCCGTGGAGCCCACATTCCCTGGCACCCCCATGCTGTGAGGAAGCAGCCCAGAACACGTGAGTGAATGGCTGATAGATCTAACTGTGTCTCAGCCCCCTCTACATGGTGGGGGAGAGACCGGCCACCCCGTGTGCTTCCTGAATTCCTGACCCACAGAATCTGCAAGTGGAAGGAAGCAAGTGTTACCTTGTGCTTCTGCATGTGGGGAGATTTGTCCTGTGTAACATCAGACAGGTGAATAAAAAAGAAGTAGGGAAAGTAGAATGAAAAGCAAAGGAGTGCACAGGACGGTGTGGGAGAGAGGGGAGTGAGAGTGGAGGAGAGCCAAGGAGGGAGGCCTGGGGAGGGGTGCCTGTGGGATGCTGTGGTACCCGGGTCACAACAGCAGCACCCATCAGGTGACAGGGCTTTAAAGCAGTGGTTGGCACTTGTGGGTTCTGATGCTCAGTGTAGTGAGACCCAAGCAGCGTTTGGAAGAGAGAGAAAGGAAGAGAGGAAGGAAGGAAGGGGGAGAGGAAAGAGAAGAGAAAG